AGGCACCTACCACAATGCCTGGCTAGTTTTGGAGATGGGGTCTCATTCTTGCTCAGGCTCGTCTTGAACTTGTGAGCTCAAGCAATCTACCTGCCTCAACCTCCCAGAGTGCTAGGATTACAGGCATCAGCCACTGTGCCTGGCCCTAGTTTTGGAATTTTATTTATTTATTTATTTATTCTGTTTTTTTTTTTTCTTTTGGTAGTTTTTATTTTTTAGCCGGGGCTGGGTTTGAACCCGCCACCTCCAGCGTATGGGACCAGCGCCTTACCTTTTTGAGCCACAGGTGCTGCCCAGTTTTGGAATTTTAGACCCTTAGATTTTTAGAATGTTAGGATATCAAAGTTGTAATACCATAAACCATGTTTTCCAACATTTAAAAAAATAGGAGAATCCTTATAACAAATGGAACTTTATGTTTTTGATATACGAAAGAGATAAAGACGATGTTTTGGTGGTATGCATTTATTTTGTAAGTTTATGTGGTTTTTTTGGCCAGGGCTGGGTTTGAACCCTCCACCCTCAGCATATGGGGCTGGCGCCCTACTCCTTGAGCCACAGGTGCCACTCTGTAAGTTTATGTTTTAACATTGACTTCTTATAAGCTAATTTTGAAAGACCATCAATATTGATGGTCTCCAATGAGTTAAATTTTTGCATGTAAGATATGTGACTGTGAGTGCTTTTAATTACATTAAGAAATAGTTTGAAATACAGTGTAAGAATGCAGTCTGCCCCAGACGCTAGCAGGTGCCCCAGGCGGGCACTCCGGAGCACAGTTGGGAGCCTGTGCTCAGGTTGTCAGTGTCAGAAGGGATCTCTCAGACTGTCTAAACCTGTCCTCTCATTTCATAAATGCTAAGTCTGAGGCCCAGAGAGGGAATGTGCCTTCCTAAGCACAGTTGGGAGCCTGTGCTCAGGTTGTCAGAAGGGATCTCTCAGACTGTCTAAACCTGTCCTCTCATTTCATAAATGCTAAGTCTGAGGCCCAGAGAGGGAATGTGCCTTCCTAAGGTCACATGGCTGGGCTGGTGCTGGGGCGAGAGGCAGGTCCCTAGTTGCCCAGTACAGAGCTCCCATCACACAGCCATGCCATGGGGAGGGGACTCTGGAGTCTGAGGAAATACACCCAGTCTGTGCCCTCTCTGCTGGTGACCTCCAGCAAGTCACCTGCCTCACGGTTGCACCAGCCAAGCTGGCTACTCATCACTTTCAGCAGTGTCTTCTCAGACTCCACCTGAGTCTGAGCCCAGTGGATTAGACTGGGTGGGTCTTAAAAATTCTAAAGTTCCCATGAAGCTCAGAGAGGCTGGGTTACTTGTTCAGGGTCACACAGCTCATATAAGGCAGAGCTAAGAGACCACTTGTCTTCAGATGTCGTACCAAGCTCTACTTTGTCAGATCCTCTCTCTCAGTCTTGGTTTCCTTGTCTGTTAGGGAGCTCTGATCATATTCCTGAACTCAAGCCCCTTGGCTTCTATGCCCCACTGGCCTAGTAGCACTGGACAGCAAGGGTCACAAACATCAAGTACACAGGCTCTACAGTTAGTCTTCCTGGGCTCAAATCCCACTTTCCCAATTACTACCCAGATGACCTGCTCTGGGGGCCTAGATCACATCCCCTGGGCCTTATCATTTCAACATGCTCCTGTCAGCCTCCACATTTCTTTATTGGAGGGTTTTTCTCTGAAGTCTCAGCATCTCCCCTAGTGGGGAGATGCAACTCTGGGGGGTGTGCTTTACTCCCCAGAGTTCCCCAGCAGGGGTCAGCAGCTGGCTTGGCCACCTTCCCCTTCCCTGTCTCTCACTCCCTCACTCCCTGGCTGGGGTCCCTGGGATCTCCCAAGTACACTGCTTGTATTCAAATCCTTGTCTTGGGCTCTGCTTGGGCAAGCAAACCCAAACTCAAGTAAGTTACTTAGTTTCTCTGCACCTCCGTTTTCTCCACTGGTAAATCCAAGAAACAACCACCCATTCCTTATAGGGCTACTGTAAGGTCATAAAGGACGGCACAGGTGCTAATGCTAGGCTCGTGCCTGCCACTTGGCAAGCGCTCAGTGGACGGCAATGAGGCTCCCTCCAGATGCCTGTGGGAGTAGGATGATGGGGGTGTCTGGTCCCCAAGAGAGGAGGTCAGGAGCCGCAGGGAGAGAGGAAGGTCAGTTTAAGTGTGCTCTCTTGCAGATGTGTGTGGTGGTGTCCTGACCAGCCTGTCCGGGGCCCTCACCAGCCCTGAGTACCCCAACAACTACCCCAACAATGTGGAATGCCGCTGGGTGATCCGGGCCGCTGGCCCTGCCACCATCAAGCTGGTGTTCGTGGACTTCCAGGTGGAGGGCAACGAGGAGTGCACCTACGACTATGTGGCTGTGCTCGGGGGCCCTGGCCCGGCCCGTGGGCACCACTACTGTGGCAGCACCAGACCCCCAACCCTGGTGTCCGTGGGCCACGAGCTGCAGGTGGTCTTCAAGTCCGACTTTAACATTGGAGGCCGGGGCTTCAAGGCCTACTACTTCTCAGGTAGGAGGGCTGGAGCACCGTGGGGCTCCCCATTACACTGTAGGGGGGCCACAGTTTCCTGCTGCCATGACACTTGGGCTTTCTGCACTCTTCCTGCTTGGAATGCTCCAGGACACCTGCCTGGCCAGTGCCGAGGCATAATGTTTCACTTCCTTTGCGAAGACTTCCTGGTTCACTGGGAATCAATCCCTTCCTTCAGCTCCTGATAGAAGTCTTTTCCACGTTATACATAGTTTGTGCTGCGTCTACACGTCGTTGGTGTATCTGCCTCCCCGGCCAGACTGTGAGTTCCTTATGTGATTATCTTTGCACCCGACACACAGTAGGCACTCAGTGAATATTTGCACAGATGAATGAATGAACTCATGGGGAGTTCACAGCCTAATGGGAGAGATGGATAAGGACACCGACGTGACAGCCCATTATGATCTGCGCTAATAGTAGAAATCAGGGGTGACTTTCTAGCAGAAGAGCTAATTGAACAGTGCCTTGAAGGAGTTAGCCAGAAGCAGATGGAAGGGAAGTGTGTTCCAAGCAGGAGGAACAGCACATATAAAGCACGGAGGACAGAGTGTATTCTGTGTGCTCATAATAAAAGGAGATGTTTAGAAAGTGGGAGTGCTGGGGGTGGATGGGGCAACCAAAAGGGGAGAAGCCAGGCCATGAACTTCATTGTCAAGCCAGGGCATTTGGAGTTAGCTGCAGGACAGGTATTAGGTATTATTATTGAATTCTAACAAGGCCAACGCTCTTGAAAGGTGTGAGATTCCCAGCTCTCAGCTAGTGTTGGTTTAAAGCAAGCTTGGGGTCAATGTTCTGCTTTGCTGGCCACAGTACCCACAAACTGCCGGTGGTTTTAGGACCCCTGTCACACCTGCAGCTTCAGCTATAACTGCACAGGGTGACTTCTCCCCTCTCCCCCACCCAGGGGAATGCCAGGAGGTGTACGTGGCTGTGCGAGGCAACTTCTCCAGCCCCCAGTACCCCGGTTCCTACCCCAACAACATCCGGTGCCACTGGACCATCCGCCTGCCTCCTGGCTACCGGGTTAAGGTATTCTTCCTGGACCTGGACCTGGAGGAGCCCAACAGCCTGACCAGGACCTGTGACTTTGACCATCTGGCAGCCTTTGACGGGGCCAGCGAGGAGGCACCCCTGCTGGGGAGTTGGTGTGGCCACAACGTGCCACCACCCATCACCTCGAGCCACAACCAGCTCCTGCTATTGCTGCACACGGACCGCAGCGCCACCCGCAGGGGCTTCTCTGTGGCCTACATCGGAGGTCAGCTGGGGCCGAGGGTGCGGTGTGCTGGTGGGAGAAGGGAAGGCTCTGAGGCCGGGTTTGCAGCCTCCTTCCTGCATCCCACCAGCTTGTCCTGACCCCCAGGAATGGTGTTCCCCAGTGGGCAGCCTCGTGTCAATTCCTGGAACCTCTGAGATCATAGTGCCGTGTCCCTTATTCATTTCTGATATTGCAGAGTCCTCCTCTCCCAGCTCCCAACTCCACGAGTCCTAACCTTCCCATCTGGTTCCTTCCCCCAGGGGCCCCTGGCCCTTCTGATAGTGTGGTTTATCCCCTGTATCCAGGGGTAATAGGCAAAATATGGTAATGCTGATTGTGGTAAATAATTGGTATAACCATGGAGATGCCTACCAGCCCTGCTTGTGGCATTCAAAAATACCGATTGAACAAATGGCGCTTGTGTTTTCTCGCTTTATAAGAAGTCTGGAGCTAGGCAGCTGCAGTATTGATTCGGGAACTCAACACTGTTCCAGGTGATAACTCTGAAATTCTCTTAGCCTCATGGTTACAATGTGGCTGCAACAATTCCAGGCATCATGTTCACGGTCAAAGCTGGAAGAGGGAAAAGGAAGAGCCAGCCACAAATGTCCCCTTATCAGGAAAGAAAAAGCATTTCCAGAAGCTCTCCCGAGACTTTTCCTTGTGTCTCTCTGGTTTGAACTTGGTCTGGTGGCTGTGTCTGGCTGCAGAGCAGACTGGAGGAGCTCGAGCTCGGCTTGCTCAGGCTCCATAGTGTTGGTTTGATTTGTTGGCCAAGAGCATCACCACCTTTCCCCCTCCTCCCACCACTCCTCCCTGGCTATGAACCCAGAAATGCCTGTGCTCCGGCCCCATTGAGCCCTCTGCCTGGCCAGGCAAAGCTCCTCACGGTGCAGGTATGGTAATAGATGCTGAGAGGTGAAAGGTTGTCATTACAGCCACATGGGCAGTCGGTGGCACAGTCAGGACTAGCACCCACTGTCCTGTCTTCTCCTTGTGTGTCTGAGCAGGACATGGGAAGGGGAGCCAGGAAAAGCTCAGACAGGTGAAGGCCACATCCAAACCCTGCCATTTACTGGCCACA